TATATATATATATATATATATATATATATATATATATATATATATATATATATATATATATATATATATATATATATATATATATATACTTACATTCCTTATTTGAATTTTTTTAAAGGCTACTTCTTTATTTCTGGGTTATTCGCTGGTTTGATTCAATTACAAACTGAATTGGATTATATATACACTACCTGACAAAAGTTTTGTCGTCAATCCCAGTTGTAAGAGCAACAAATAATAACTTGACTTTTAGTTGATCATTTTAAAAAGTGGCAGAATGTAGATTTTTCTGATGAATCTGTTGAACTGCATCCCAATCATCACAAATACTGCAGTAGACCTACTGGAAACCGAATGTACCCAAGATTCTCATAGAAATCAGTCAAGTTTGATGAAGGAAAAATCATGGTTTGGGGTTACATTCAGTGGGGGCGTGCAAGAGGTCTGCAGAGTGGATAGCAACATCAACAGCCTGAAGTATTTAGACATTTGTGCTGCCCATTACATTACAAACCACTGGGAGAGGTTAAATTCTTTATCAGGATAGCGCTCCTGCTCATACTTCAGATAGGTGACAAGACTTTGTTAGGTAGTGCATAATGCTCATTAGATTACAATTACTTCTAAATAGATTACAGCTACTTTTTATGGATTTACAAGTTATACGCAGTATACTGGCAGTAAGTATCATTTTTATTGATTCTCCCTTATTTTTTCTGATTTCTCCTTTAAATCTCCTCTCTTAAAATTGTGACAGTGTAAAAGTTTCAGCATGGCCATACATTTTACTTTGATAAAATTTACAATCCTTGCTTCTGAAATTGGGGACAAAATAAAACATACAAATTAGAGATGCGCGGTTGGCGGTTATAGCCGCGGACTCCGCGGATAAACCGCGGATCGGGCGGATGAGGTTACGAAAAAATGATATTTTAATTAAATTCGGGCGGGTGGTGGGCGGTTGTACTGTTTTTATATTCATAGCTGGCGCACCAACAAAAAAGCCTAGGACTGACTTCACAGAATGGGAGGAGGAATCGGATACACTAATTCTGGATGAAGTACAAAAGTATTCCTACAAACTTCCGTATAGACGGATCAGCAGAGGAAAATCTACTTTCCTTTTGGGAGAAATAAGGCCAGTAATTCCCACAGCACCTTTCCAAGAGAATTCAATGCATTTCAGGAACAAGTGCTGCGAGCGAGCGCTCCTTCAGTGCAGCAGGGCGCATTATAGTGGCTATGCAGGCGCTCCCGTCTGAATCCTGACACTGTAGATGCTATTTTATTCCTGCATTGTGCCAAGAAAAAATCAAACTAGACCTAAAGTCAGGCATATTAAACCAATTAGCCTATGTTATTTAGGCTACACATATGTTCAATATAAACTTTTGAGTTCGGTCAGCTGATAATTTTACGTTCATATTGGTTTAGCCTATTCTATTCTAGACATGTTGGCCTCGCTTTTACGTTCCGAGGCTATTTTGCCAGAATTTCTTTGTCGCAACTTTAATGGCATAGTATTTCGTTATGCTTCAAGTTTGAGGGGAATGGGGATAATCCTCCATGGGTTATTGGGGCACTTGTCATACATGCACTTTAGCCTGGTCAGACTTTATGTTCGTTTAAAGAGGGATGGCATATCTGTTTTTCTAATTTAATTTCTAATTGTGGGGGTGACTGAGCCTACAAGGCTTAGGCATGATATGACTTTTTTATTAAAACTTTTTTCAACTGTTTGCCAAAGCATGCGACTATAGCCTATGCCTACATTAAGATATTTATGTTAATATTTTTTACTGCCTGTTGTTTCTTTTGGCATATAAAATAGGTATTGTCTGATAGAGATATCAATAAAGGTTCATCTGTGTCGCAGAACTGGTGTTGTTTCCGATTTCTACAAGCTCAATAACATTCACAGCAAAAAATAAAAAATAAATAAATAAATAAATAGTCGAAAAACTGTGCCCATTAATTAGATGTGCAAGGCAAGCAGGTACGTTTTTGGGGTTGCTATGGACAACTACAAAATGTAAACATTATTAGGCTATAATGTAAATGACTTATTATTCTATCTATTTACTAAAAAATAAAGTGAAATAGGCATTTAGTAGTAGGCTAAATAGCAGCATGTTGAAATGATGTGTCAATTCGTTTTCTATTAGACTACAATGAAAAAGTTGTACAGTACAGTGCGTTTAATTTAGGCTATTTATTTACTTTTGTCCCTGTGCGCCGATTGGAGACGGAGTTCACTGCTGATATTCTGAGAGCTCGGGTGCTTCTCATTTCTTATTTGTGCATCCTCGTTTCCTTTCCTTGCTTTCTTTCCCGTGTTTCCACCCCACCGGGATAACGGTACGAGTGAAGGACGCAAGGAAAAGACTCAAGGACCGAGGAATCGAATCAAGTGAAAAGACACGTCCTCGTATCTTTAGCGTCACTTCAAAGCGTCTTTAATTAATGACTTGCAAGATTGGATTAACTGCATGTCTACATTAAAGTCATTCTCTATTCTATAATGATCAATAAAGAAACATTCATTTAATAATAAAAAGGAATAAGCCATTCAAATAAAGAGCCCAATCAGCAGATGGCGGGCGGGTGCGGTTTTAAAAATTGGTCAAAAATGTTAGTGCGGATGGATGGCGGACGGATGATGAATTTTGCCATGCGGTTGCGGATGAAATAATAGCCCATCCGCGCATCTCTAATACAAATCACATGTTACAGTAAGTCAAAAGTAACAAGGAAGTAATCTAAAAGTAGTCATAATAGAATTAGCAACGTATTCTTTGACAGAATGTAGGCTAACAAACCAAGAAATACATTCAAGAAGGTGATGTGAATCAAACACACAAAACTTAGATCTAAATATTCCTATAGTGTAGTTTGTCCCTTTATTTTATATTTATTTTGTATTATCCATACACAACATTTTGCTTTTAATTTTTTGATTTGTTTATTTGTAAATAGGCAGCCAAAGCCAGACCATGCGGTAACATCATACAGTATTAAAGCACATCAAAAAAAACCATGGTCCTATGGAAATGCTGTAATACAACACTTCAAACCATAGAGAGCAGCATTTAGGCAGTCAGATACAAGCTAAAGAAAATCAAAGAACATTTTGATGAAGTGATGAGGATATGCAGAAAGGCAGTTATATATCGAAGATATAAAGATATACTGTGAAAGCTGCATAGTTCACAAGAGAAAATGCACTTTGAGGTGTTGTCCACAGAATGAGTGGAATGCTGCTGTGGGCTCTCCTCACCCCTGTTTGAGCTCTGTTGGGTCAACACGTTTCTAACACATTCCAGGTGCTTAAATACACAATCCATGACTTGAAGCTAGAGGCTATAGAGCCCTAAAACTGGCCCGATGATTTACAATATAGAACAAGAAACAGACAGACAGGACATTTATCACCATGTTGCCGGAAATGTGTGATCGTCCTTGTAATTTAAATGATCAATAAACTGACAAGCAGAATTATATACTGCTGTATTGCTTTTTTTAAATCACCAGACTAATGTTATGTTTATAATATGTCAATGTGGGGACATTATCATTTTGTATATGAAAACACATTAATGTAATACAATTTGATTAAAACGTCATAAAATATTTACAACAGAACTGTTCAGTAAAAATGTTTTATTTTAGTGATTCTGTAAATTTAAAAATAAACATGTACTTTAACAAATAACTTAAGAAATAAACAGATTAGCTGAATGATTGTTTGCTTTATAATTTTACTGTAAAGTTGATAGTAAAAACATCACATCTAAAAAAAAGCAACATTATTTTGCCATTAGAAATGAAAATCATTTAAATTATTTAAGTGAATAAATATATGTGAATAAATATCCTAATATGTATTAAAATCCAAGAATGTATGTTTTTAATTAGGTGTGATTTACTGACTAAAACACACGACATAAAAATAAATAAACAAACAAATAAATAAATAAAAGAAGTTTTTCTTTTTAATGCTGTAGACTTATAATACTTGTAATTTGACACAAAAAAATGGTTATCAAGAAACAAACAAGCAAGAATGATATTTTGCCATATTATGCCATTTTAAAGTCAAACAAGCCAACGTTTTTGTTAATAAATATTTGTAAATATACTTTTTTAAAACTTTAGATATTGGATAATAAATTAAATATGTTATTTACGGTCATAATATTTCCATAAACAGCATTTGTTTGCACAATATATAGTTTTATTATAATATAAATGTATGTTTGGGTAGTTTATGTGAATAAATATTGCATTATACATTAATGTGCAACAATCTAATTCAAATTTACAAAAAAAAAAAAAAAGCCACCAACAACAAAAAATACTGTGGAAAAACTTTTTTTTCTTTAGTTTTTTTCCTATTCCCAACTTTTTTCTTTTAATTAATAAAATGTATATTAGTTTTCTACAATACAATACAAAAGGATTAATTATTTAAAAATACCTTCAACAGACTAAGCTTTAGAGAACGGGATTTATGCACACAGACTTTTAATTTCATCCAGCCAGCCTCGGAGCTTCCGGTGAACTGTCTTTCCATTATAAAATTTGTATGATTAAGGTCTGTTTTCTTTTAAAAAGACAAACAAACAAAAAAAAAACAGTGATCTTCACAGCCTGATAGAGGTACAATATAACGTGGGTCTCAGACCAGACAAGAAATTTTAAGTTTTCACCTGCCATGTTTTTAAAATATGACAGTTTATTTTACCCCAGTATTTTCAATTGAATTTCTGCACTTACATGCTGATCCTGACGATGCTAGTGGTTACACGGTCTTTCATCTAGTTTTACGCTTGATCAACTTAAGAATGCTTAAGTCTATTTAACTGAATTGTAATTACATTACATCTCTTAATTAAAATCACTGCAAAAAAACACAACACATAAGGACTACAATCCCCCTAGTTCCGGTCAGCATGACGCATTTCCTCTAGTACAGCCTTCGGCAGCTCTCGGCAAACTCCGTAAACCGAGAAGGGATTTACTCCAAAGAGGCAGGACGAGACCGTAGTTTACTCTGCATCGAGCGGCTGCGAGGTTGCAATGAAACTGCGGTAAACAAACTCACCGGTAAGACCCAGTGTGCTCAGATTTCAGTGTTCTGGAGCAGTGCTCAGAAATATCCGCGGTGCAGCGTGGTTCTGTATGAATACGGCGAGAGCGAGCTCACATGCAGTGTTGAATGAACGGGATTTAGAGGTGCGTGGAAATAAGCGCTGTGTATGTGTGTGTGTGCTGCTGGACAGAGACGTGCATTGAGTCCTTATCTCATCTGACATGAATACACACGCTTCACCAGTTGCTGATGAGGAGAATTAATTTACGCGCACAGTAATCGATGGGGACATTGTGTGTATCTGCATTGTAATCGGTAAGTTTAATCACTTAAACGCCTGTCTGTATAACGCAGAACGTGATTGATGGCTGAAATTTGCATCAAGGCAAATAAATGCTCGCGCTTGGTGGTTTGTTTTCGCCTTTTACGAGGCAGTCTGAACGAATATAAATATATATATGTATATATTTAAAGATTTCAAGTTTGATAAGATATACATGCATAGTAATAACTTTTTTAGGTTTGCATATGGAAATATTCAGCTACAGCTAAAATGTGTTTGCTGAAACTTTTTGGTTAATTTCACAGTAAAATATTGGTCGCTTTAAATGTTCAGCTTAATTTGCATGTCCTTAAAGAGGAAAAGTGAACTTGTTTAGAACAATTCCTTAACATTGTGTTTTAATCCCAGCAATAAGTATATCCGAGGACTGAATCCTAATTAAATGCATTAGTTCTTTCTCAATCCGGATCACTAACTTCTGGCAGATGTAAACACCGCTTCAAACCTTTGAAACACTCTTGTATGTAGACAGTGGGCTTTTGTGATGCTCCAGACACATGCAGCCCATGCTGACGCCACACCCCTCTGTGTCATCGTTTAAACAGCCCTCTCAGTCGTCTGCTGATTTATACTTGTGGATTCTCCATTGTTCTTTAGAGAAGTATTGTTTAGCTCTCATTACACTACTCCTAATTAACCCTCCTTTTGATTTAGTTCGCTGTTATGGATCAAATTGCAGTTTAGCAAACACAGGCTTGTGTTTATTGATTTCGCAAACAAAAACGAGTAATTAGAGATCACTCCAGTTTGATTAAACAACTGGGTATTTTCTCTAGCAAACGCCACATTCAGTGCTGCTGATGTATTTCGTAATTGTATACCATGTACTGATTATACTTTATTTTGACAGGCATGTTTGATATTTGTATGTTTTATGCTGTAAATTACGTTGTGTATTACCATTTAAAGATGTTTACCTTTCCAGTTTAGCTGTTCAAATTAGACTTGATGTTTATTGGCAGGTTCCTATAATGCCATTATTTCACAGTGTTATGACATTGTGGTACTTTTATGCCTGATTATATTTTTTTGATTGTGTTTTTTATTGTTCTGAATCTGTTTCCATTCTTTTTAATGACGATTAGTGCTATCATGAGACAAATGCCTTTTATTATTATCATCTTTTACTATTGTAAATAATTAGTACAGTTCTTTGTGCCTTGCTTTTTTGCACTGACATTCTAGCTTCCTATTATTTGTTAAGTATTTTTTTCAATTGCAAGACTTTTGTTAATCACAATAGACAAATATTAATCATGATTAATCACATCCAAAATAAATTTTTGTTTTAACATAATATATGTGTGTGTATATATTTATTATGTAAGCCTATATGTGATGCACACCTATACATAGAAACAAAACTATACATAAATTTTTGTTACATATATATTTAAATTTCTTCAAAATTATGTGCATATGCATGTGCATATGCATGTGCATATGCATGTGTTGGGTGTTGATTTTGCATGGACGAAGAGGACGCATTCCCACCAAGATCCACCGACTACTGAAACGCCCTAAAAACACACATGAACATTGTGATTGGCTGAGCCTTCCCCTGCTGTCATGACAGGCTATAGCTGCATTCAGATGTAACAGTGCCAAAACTGCACAGAGGAATTATCTCGTGCATGATTAAAATGTGTGAGGTGGGTGATATGCAAGTGAGGATAATGGTAACGTTAATGCTAATGTTTTTTTTCCCCCTTTGTTACACAATCTAACATACGCAGGCTGATATAATGACTGATATAGTGAGGTGGTGGAGGTTCATAGGTCCCCACCAATGTCAAGAGCAAACATACGTCCTTGGCATGTGTGTATTTGTGGATACATAATAAATATACACTGTACACACACACACGTTATGTTAAAACCTATTTTTATATGCATACGTTTGGGTGAAAGAAGGGGTTTTCAAGCATTAACGTTATTATTCTGGAGCAAAAATAAAACCTATTTTTTTGTGATTTTACAAAAAACACCTGCTAAAATTGGATTCATTATAGTTTATATACAAAGAGAAAAAACTTGTTAGAAATCATTTGGTGACATTTTTTATACACAATTTTACTAATTTGTCAGCAAAACATTTAATTAATTTAAAATACAATACAATTTTGTGTATTGTCACTTTTATTATGTTATATGTTGTAGTAATTGCTTTACTTTTGCCTAAATGTATTTTGTTATCTGTTACACAGATTGACAATGAAACATTAAAATACACATTTCATTTACATTAAGCTCACTCTTTTCACATTTTTTGGGTTTCTCAGTAACAGAAGGTGTCATAGCTTAACGCAAACTTAAAGTACAATGAATGGGAAAGCAGAACAAATATATTTTTTACAACCCTATTTGCTGAAATAATAAAATAAAAACTCCATGATGGTGTTATCAAGACTTTCAGAAACAACATCAAAACATCAAATTTACTCTCAGCCCCATAGACGCTGCATTAGAAACGCCTCACATAAGCGGTAATTCGTTTTTTGTAATTTGATATTATTTATGCATAAGTAAATATATATAAATGTTCATAAGATTAAAAAAAAATCTAAATACTTAAAATTTTCAAAGATTTTACATTGTGATGATCGTTAAATGCATCATAACAATATTGTGAAAAAGGTGCATTTGCTTTTGCAATAAATATATTGAAGCACTTTTGAAAGCTCAATTTGACACAAACACCAAAATGTCGCATCACATTTTTTGTCCCTTTTGAATACATGAACAGGACTCATAGAGCACATTCCTAACCACTTTTATGAGTCAATGTAACTCATCATCCACTCTCTCATTCTAAGAGCATGTAATCTCTTTATGAGATGCAGGGCTTTCCGTTTTATTAAAGTTTTAATTCCTTATGACTGCACAATACCCCTACTTCGCTTTTAAAGTCTTAAGTTCGTCTTGCAGTATTCACAGTCTGATGTGGAAATGGACAAGTCTGCTTACTGTGTCTATAGTGATGGATTGCTGATGCTGATGAATCCAGTAGCTTAGCAAAAGGCATCAAGCAGAGTACTGTCCGCTGTCCTCTTGATAAACTACAGCCGCTTTTTATCACAGCTGTCACTTCTCTTGGTAGTGAGCCCATGGGTCATGCCTTACTGTCCTTGATCCTGTTATTCAGCATGAGTGGACACTGTGTATATGAACCAGCTCATTGACTTGCTGTTAATAACTCCTCTCTTCCCTTCAAAAATGTGCCATATATTCCCTGTTAAATACCATTTACTTGCAAGGTCAGACACGGGCAAGAGTAAATGCTAGTTTTCGCTTGACCATGTTGAACGTGAATGTAAACAGTAAAGGGTTTGTCAGTGGCAGGAATAAGCTGTTTTTAACTCTGAGGGTTTTATACTAGAATCTTAAACAGGATTTTTTTATTTGTTCCTTTTTCCGGCTAACGATGAATGTTCATAACAATAAAGTGTCATAAAGTCATTTTTATTTATTTTACCTGGCACTTGTAGTTGATGTCACTTTGTTTAAAATATAAACAAATAGCCTAAACACTGTCCAAAAACTGTAGCTTTTAGTTAAAAACTGAGCTGTTAAAAATTTTATAATGGAGCTTTATTTTTTTCTATTTGGTTATTGATGAATGGACCTAAAAATGAAATGTCTAAAAAGTCATTTTTGTTTATTTTGCCTGGCACTTAGGGTTCAGATAAGCCTGCTGCTTTTATGAACAATATTGCCTGAGAAATGAGGTCTGACTGCCAGCTGAACTATTCATTATATTGTTGACCAAGCTATATGTCAGCCAGCAAAGCTTATGAATGTTTGCTTTCATTTTAGAAAAAAAGTTTCTTTCATGGCTAATGTAGGCATTATTGTCATCACTCTTCTTCCAGTGATGTATTTATTTCATAATTATTTTTGTTAGTATTATTACTTAATTGCTTGTTTTCTGTTTGAATGTATTTAAAAATGTAATGTATTTCTGTACATATTTTGCTTTGTTACATTGTAAAACAAGCTGGGTTCCACACAATTCCTTCATGTTGTGCCAATTCATACCAATTAAGTTAACTTAAAAATGTAAGTGCATTGAACAAAATAATTATGTTGTCCCAAAAACATCTCAAGAATTGTTTTTTCAGCTAATTTTAACCCTTTCACTGGTGTGATAAAATAATTATTATATAAATATCACACACACAATGACTATAGTATTTTAAATGTGTAACACCAAGATTTTTTGTTTTAGCTGTTATATACTATAATTTGTTTAGTACAGCATATTATTTGCAGTAAATAACTGAACTTTTATGCCTCGTATGTTTTATTGAAAGTTTTATTGATCACTAAAATATGATTGAATTGGACTTAAATTGCTTCGATTTAAAAATAAAAATTGTAAAAAAAATAGCTTAGATGTAGCTACTTTTGCCATGTAGCTTTTAGCTTAGCTTGCTACACTTCACAGGGGGGTAGTGTTTAGTGTAGTTAAGCTACATTTTAAGTAGAGTAGCTAATAGCTTAACTCACTATACGCACTAACTCACTTAACGCACATTTTTCAAGTAGCTTGGCCAATACTGTTGTTTCCCTTTATGTACTACGGAAGAAATTTATAAATAAACATGACGAAAATCCAGCAGCTCTGATCTCTCCTATGGTTGTTGCTAGAAGGGATACAGCTGCGATCTGAAGTTAATGAGAAATATTTCTATTATTTATTAAAATTAAACATTAATTGTATTTTATTAGCATTTACCCCTACCCCTGCCTCAACCCTAAACCCAACCAACTTTCATGGTAATGTTGAAAAAATTATTT